AAAAAAAGTATGAGGCCTAAAGAAAAGCCGATACATTCAATACAGAGCACCATTGAGGTATCATGAGGGTTACCAGAAATTCTCTTATTTTGACTTTTAGCACAAAATAAATTGTTTTAGTATTAAAACATATAGAATTAAAAGAAAGGCTCTCTTAACCTTGCCCTCACCCACTCCTAACAAGCCTCAAACAACACACTTCATTCTTAAGGTCTTTTCAAAATGGCAGGAAGACAAATTTCACCAACTGAAACTTTTAATTCTATCTCAGTAATCACAACTTCTAAATTTAACATAAAAAACACTAGGAAATCAGCAAAAGCAATGAAAAGCTACTAGTTAGATTTGTTCAACAATCAGCTGAGACAGGAAGAAGAGAACCATTTTAGTTGGCAATAGATTAAATGCATACATTTCTACTTTAATACTGTATACATTGTCTTTTATACATTTCCTTATTTTGATGGTAAGCTATAGCTTATAGTGGGAATCTTACATTACACAAGAATTATTCTCTTTGATGCCTATACAAAATAGTCATTAAAAAAAAGTTTTGTTAGGGACAAAAGGTGTTGCCTTAGGTAACCTTGGAAAATGGTGTTTGGATACTGTAAGGCTAACAACAAAAAGAAACAGAAAAAAGAAATGTGCATAAGCTCTCGTACGTAAATTTCTCACAAGGGTACTGAGTTAGCAATTCTGAAACTATATGATATGTCCACTAGGGTTGAAAAATAAGTAAAAAAGTTGTAGATAATGGGAGTTAGGTTTCTCATAGAGAGAAAGAAGTTACAAATGAGCAAAGGGAAAAACTTGGAATGAATCTTATGGTGCTGGATCAGGAGCTGGAGATAACAGTATGAACTCAGGTTTATTTTAAATATATACAGATAAATACAGAAGTAATTACAGATATTATGTGTACATATGCACATTCAGTCAACAAGCACTTCCAGCTATCAAGTCTTGTGTTCTAAATACCATTCTCCAATTAAAGGAACAGGGTTCCTTGGAGAAAAGGCTGATTCTAGGGTTGGGATAGAGAAAATACAAGATGAGCCTGGAGAAGCTTGTGGTGCCAAAAAGTAAGGGAGGACTAAGACAAAACAAAAAAATGGGGTCATGTCAAAAAACATGATTCCCAATGGCCAAAGATAGAATAATTTGAGCATCAAAAGAAATAATCAGTGTTTTACTATAACACAAAATAAAATGCATATCCATGAGTTTATTCTGAAAAATTGAATGAGAAGGAACACATCTCCCTTATATTAGGATTCCAAATAATAGATGTAGATACCCCATCTACAGGAATTAGAGCTTAATTCCTTTCTTCCTTGAGCAAGCGTTGGACTTAGCAACTGACTTCAAAAGAACAGCATACGGAATTGAAAAATAGTAACCCTCCAATAAAGAACCTGGCAGATACCATCTTATCTAAGTGATCAAGGTTAAAATCACCAGTAATAAGTCATGTTGGTATCATGTATCCCCTGAAGTGATGTCAAGAGAAAGGGATTTCACCTCTGTGGTACTTTCCCAGAAAATCACAATCCCAGTAAAATCATGAGAAACTATCATTGTTTCAAATTGAGGGGCAGTCTACAAAATACCTAACTAGTACTCTTCCAAAGTGTGAATGTTAGGAAAACAAGAAAAGATTGAGAAACTTACAGACTAAGGTGACATGATAACTAATGCATTGTGTTTTAGATTGGGTCCAGGAACAGAAAAATTACATTAGTAGAAAAACTATAAAATCCAAAGGAACCCTATAGTTTGGTTAATTGTCTTGTACCAATGTTAATTTCTTAGTTTTCATAAACTAAATTTGATAAACAGGTACCATATAAGCCGTTAACATTGGTGGGAAGCTGGATGAAAGGTGTACAGGAACTCTCTGTACTACCACTGCAACTTTTCTGTAAATCTGAAATTACTCCAAACTTTTTAAAAGTCTTGGCATATTCAAAAAACAAAATATTCAAGTCTTACCAATTTGTGGAATTCATCTGTAAAATAAAAAATAATTTTCATAGTTCAAACGTATGAAGACCTGTACAAAGTCAGTGATATAGAAAGAACTAAACACTACAAACACCAGCTTATTCTTTAGAAAAACCAGGTTTAAATGTATAAGCTCTTTATGTGTACACCTTCCATAATCTCCTTAAAGTTACATTTAGACGAATAGAAGCTATCCTAACATCAGCTACGGCAGAGATAAATAGGAATTGTTGCCTACTGGCAAAGAATATGGACTTATTTTGCTACTTGATTTTTGTCTAAGATTACCCTAAATGGGCAGGGGGAATATCTCTAATTGTCCCATAACACTCCATTCTAAACACTCCATTTAAAATCATTTTTGACCTAATTCTATTTTCAGAATTTCCCAAAATTTGGCTACCACCCACTACTTTAAGCATTTGTTTGTCCTGGTGTCCGAGTGGAGCGTTGGTTAGGAGTTGGCTTGGGATGCCAGCTCTGAGAAGCAGGTCCCCAGTTCGGATCCCACATGAGGGCCAGTGATGCTGTGCCCTCTACAGCTAAGATGGTGAACAACAGCTCGACCTGGAGCTGGGCTGCAGTGAG